ACTGGGACTAATGCCTACGGCACCCGTGGAGCTCTGACGACATGCTTGACCATGCCGGTGTTGCGGAGGAGTCGCTAAGTGATCATTCCTTGCCGACCTTAGCAAGCTCACCATCAATATGGCGACAGCACCTAGCGGCCATCTCCGTGGTGGTGACGGAGCAGTCGAGGGCCGCACAGCGGCGAGGACCTGGCCGTTGGTGACACATTCCGGTGTTGCGCCGGACTTGGCGATTGGCGGGAGGCATTGCGTCGCTCGTACTGCGCATGTTGCTGCGTCGCGCGCTCCTCCTCGAAGACGACAACCCTCAAGCCCGAGGGACCGCTGACACCGCCACCTTCGAGTTAATGGAGGATGTGGCCCCATACCTTCGTGATCGCCGACAGCAGCTCCTCCTTGACGGGGCGGTGGTTGGGACGGGACGGCGACGCCGGCTTGTTCTAGACGCGTTGTCTGATATGGACGCCGCGGTTGGGCGGGGGCGATATCGGCTCCTCCTCGACGCAACGTCCAATCTGGACGCTGCGGTTGCGTAGGGGCGACGTCGGTACCTCCTTGACTCACCAGAGTGGGGACTCCGGCTCGCGCTTCACGCGATGGCACGGCCGGGACGATGGCTACTCCTTGACGCGCGTCGTCGATGATGGAGTCGGGCACATGTGACGGAGCGAACGCTTCGTCATTATCTCCATCTAACCGATAAATTCTTCGTCCGTCAGAACGGCCTCCGCGAGGAGGAGGGGCTGTTGCTCTGGCGTCTGGTTCTCCTCGTCACGCGGAGGGGATGACGATATCCTCGTTGCCAGAGGAGCCAGCCGCCGTAGATGCCGAGGGGCCTTGAGAGCGATGACAGCGGCGGATCCACCCGAAGAAGAACTACCACCGCTACCGCCTATCGGCGTGGAGAACCGTGACTTCAATATCGCCACTGGAGTTTTGGGGGCTCGGAGAGGCAGAGAATGTGTGGATGTGGATCGCCGGTGCGCGGCTTAAATAGCAGCGGCCACGGCCAGCCGAACAGGGAGTCAACTCGTTTCAATACGGCGCAGCGGCCGGAGTTGATTTCTCAGGACGTGGCGTCATATTGAAGCGGCAACGCCCGAGAGGTCGCGCCCATCACCGAAACTATAGTATATTATAGCGGTGCATCTCAAATTCTATATCCAAGGCAATGTCATTTCATTCAAAGGATATAATTTTTTATGGGGTCTAGAATAATGTATTCTCTTTGAAATACAAAGGTTGATTCATATCCTACATAGAAATATTATTCCGCTCTATAAATCAAAGGGCTTCAAAGAAAAAATTCCAGCAAAATTCTTATCTTTTGGAATTTCTAAAAGAATTTTGTAAATCCTACTCTATACAAAAATATAATTCTGCTTCTATAAACCAAAGGGCTTTGAAGAAAACATTTCTACAAATTCTTATCCTTTAGAATTCATATAAGTTTTCTATAAATTATAAGGGGCCTAACAGGTTTTTGTGCACGGATCGGTGCACCAACTTGATTCTTGACTGCCAGTCCACCGGCTCGATTGTTAATGTCCTTTCTTGACGACCAGTGTGAAACTCCACATACATCAGCACAAGAAAAGTAGGGTTGAAGATTTCGAGCTGTAAAAGTGATAGTGGAGAAGGAAGATTTGAGCAGCGAATTAAAGAAAAACTAAGCCTGACCGAACGCCAGAGATTATGACTTGCTTCAATAATAATGACCATGACGCTTAGTCGGCATGTTTCAGCCTAGGTAGCATCCAATGTACTCCCTCCGTTTCATAATACAAGAGTGTTTGTCAAACGCTCTTGTATTACGAGACGGAGGGATTATCTTTCAATAGGGTCTCTCTATGAGAAATATTTACTATTTGTTACAGTAGAAAACATGTCTCTTCTTTGGGCAGAAAGCAGTAAAAATGTCATGATGTTGCCTTCAAATTTTATAAGGCCCTTAAGTGCAACAAAAAAAATGCATCCAACTGAATCAAAAAAAAGGCAGATAACAGATAAAAAAGATCAGTTGATTTCGCAAACAAAACAAATGAAAATTGTTCAGTTTAGACACTAGACTGCTCTTTTTTTAGAAATGATATACGCATGTACACTGAAATAAATCTAAAAATGCGAGCACTCATGACAAGTTTAGGACTTAAACCATGAACCTAACTATTTGAGCTATGCTCACTTCGCAGTAGATTGCTCCTCTTGATAGAAGTTGAACATGCATTTTTTTTTAATATTTTCATATGTCTTGTTGTGTATCTATACAATTTGCAGTTTAACTCTATGTGCCCTACAAAAAAGAGAGGAAAATGGGTAAACTGGATGGTGAATAAGGTTCATGCCATAACAATAAGTTTTGACACTATTTTCTTCCAGTGTATTACTTTGCAGAAAGGAGGATGCTCATCAGCAAAGGTACCTTTCTAATCTCGAGCTCGAATGTTCCTGGCGTGAACAGTAAAATAAAAAAGAAACAAAAAAATCACAAAATTCTGATTTTTTGGCAAACTTTAAGAAATGTTTGAGGTGCATGCAAATTTTCATCATGAAATCACATTGTGGTGGTCGTGGCAAAAAAGAAAATCAGAGCTCCCAAATGCGTTTGAAAGTAACATTTCATAGCACCAATTTTGTTTCACTATTTTTACTATCTCTTTGAATTTACTGTTCATCGAAAGGTTTTAGACTTACTAGAACTAAAGTCGGGTACATAAGGTGCGGTTTCAGTACTACTAGGAGGAGGTTAGCCTTGATGGGAAGGTGGTGCCTCAGAGGGACACCTTTTGATATTTAGGGTCAATGCTGCAGAAGGATAGGGATATCGATGAAGAGGTGAACCATCGAATCAAAGTCAGATGGATGATGTGGCACCAAGCTTCTGATGTTCTCTGTGATAAGAGAGTACCATATAATCTAAAAGGCGGGTTCTATAGGACGGTGATTCGACCGGGCGCTGAGTGTTGTCCGACTAAACTGCACATGTTCAACGGTTAGGTGTGGCGAAGATGCGCATGTTGAGATCGATGTGTGACCACACAAGGAAGGACTAGGTCTGGAATGATGATATACGAGATAAAGTTGGCGTAGCAGTGATTGAAGAGAAGTTTGTCCAACAGCGTCAGAGATATAATTTTAAGCAATTTTTTCCATCGGTCAAAGACACAAAATAATTGATTTTTACCGGCTGCAATACTAAGTATTAACATTGAAACTTAACATATTTTTAAAAGTCGTCAAGTTGAATTGAATCTTATTTGAAAACGTCAGTCGCCACGAATATGAAAACAAAACTTAATTTGAAATTTTTGTTAAAAGATATAGAACTTTGAAAATCGAAAGCCAAAATAAAAGGTCGGCACTAGGGACCTCAGTGCCCCCGTGCTTGCATGCCGCAAATCTTCGTCCTAATGGATATACCATACCTAGGTTTGCCCCGCATCCACGATACAATTCTTGGTTATGAAAGGTTATTGTGGTAGAAGGCGGGAGTAGGAGTTGAGGGGCTAGATAGATTTGTGAGAGAGTAGTCTTTTGTTTTTCTCTTGGAGCCGGAGCTCCCGTGTAGGCACTTTCGTCTCGCAATGATTCTTGTAAATATTATTTCTCTCTTCTATTATAAAAATACGGTACACCATTGGCATACTCTTGAAAAAAAAAAGAGGTTATTGTGGTTTAGATGACATGCCATACATTAAATTTACATGCATTACTATAACTACGACCATTAGTAATTATATTTGCATAGTGCAACAAAATTCAAATGTGAGCTCGAACTCATATGTCATTTCATAACTACCAACCGTTAGTCGTTGCATCCCTCTCTTGAACAGAACTCCAATACTCTAGCTCTCCATTGACTATTATAAGAGGTTCCAACTTTTTTCTGATTTAAAGGAGTTGAGGGGCTAGATAGATTTGTGAGAAAGTAGTCTTTTGTTTTTCTCTTGGAGCCGGAGCTCCCGTGTAGGCACTCTCGTCTCGCATGGATTCTTGTAAACATTATTTCTCTCTTCTACTATAAAAATACGGTACGTCATTGGCGTACTCCCGAAAAAAAGATTACATTAAATTTACATGCATTACTATAACTATGACCATTAGTAATTATATTTGCATAGTGTAACAAAATTCAAATGCGAGCTCGAACTCATATGTCATTTCATAACTACCAACACTTAGTCGTTGCATCCCTCTCTTGAACAGAACTCCAATACTCTAGCTCTCCATTGACTATTATAAGAGGTCCCAACTTTTTTCTGATTCAAATATATATGGACGGATTTTAATATATTTGTTCACTCATTTTAATCTGGGGGTGGCTGCTCGGTGAGCGTTCACTCATTTTAATCTGTATGTATAGTTCATGTTGAAATATTCAAAACATTATAGTATTTCTGAACGGAGGGAGCATAATACTACTACCTCCGTCATGGTTTACTGGTCCCCATAGTATTTTATAGTACCAAAATTTGATCATAGATTTAACTAACAAAATATTTATGCATGTCATCAAAGATTATATCATTGAATTTTTTTTTAAATACAAATCCAATAATATATTTTTTTACATGCATTAACATTTTATTAGTTAAACTTTTGGTCAAATTTTGACATAAATTGCAAAGAGTACCAATAAATCAGGACGGAAGATAGTAGTCCTGTGTGGCAGCGAGCCCTGACCCATTTCTCTTGTGATTATTAGTTAATTTTGTGGAGACAGAGGGGGAGTTTTCAGTTGAGATCTGTGCCCTCGTCCCGAGGAAGCCTTTATTTAAGCCCTCGTCTCCCAGAGCTACTCCCACTCCGTTCCGTTCCATTCTCCAGCCTTAAACCTTTCGACTCTCCACCGCCCCAGCCCCTAGAGCAGAGCGAGGACTCGAGCACTAGCCCGTCTGCTCCTCCTCGTCCTTACCTCCTCTGGTTCAACCGCGGTTGGTTACGCAGAGCCAGCCAAGAACCGTATACACCGGGGGAGCAAGTCGGGGGTCGGGACGGCGATGAAGTACGTGGTGGTGACCGGCGGCGTGGTGAGCGGGCTGGGCAAGGGCGTCACCGCCAGCAGCATCGGCGCCGTGCTCAAGGCCTGCGGCCTCCGCGTCACCACCATCAAGATCGGTACGTAGCCATTCACCCCATTCCTTCCCATCCCCCGTCCCCGTGCCGGTTGTTTCTCTGGAAGGCTAAGCTCTAATTTTGGCCTTCCAGCACAGAAGTAACCGCCGCGAACCCAGACACGGAAAGATTAAAAAATGGATTTTTAACGCGGCTTTTGATCCGTCCTGCCTCCCGTATGCTGGTGCCCAGAGGTCAAAAAACAAAGCACCACCCTTGCTTTTCTCGCTAGAACAAGCTAGTCTAGTGTAGTCGTACTGGGATAAGGCAGCAGCAGCATTCCAAAATGTGTCCGGGGCCTGCAGCTTGGGGCCGCGTGGCAGCCACCTGTGCCAACGCGCTTGGTTGCCCTTGGTCTTTTTACAGCTGGTTCTTACAAAGCTCTTGTGCGCCAGTCTTTGCATTTTTCTTCTAATTAATCGGCAGCTCAGTCTTGCACCACTCTCCTCTCCTGGCAATCTTCTTCCCCGGTTTCCTTTTGGTCACTCATTGCCGTCCATCTTTATGAAGCGGATACCCGATCTTCATGCCGGTGTCGCCATCTTGGTTCCTTCCAACGCACGAAATCATCTCCTCTTACTATGACATCCCATGCATTAATTTTCCCTGACTAATTTCCCTGTACTGTTCCTTTTCTTCTCCCTACGAAAAGTGCGGTTGTTTCGGTTCACTCGAGATGACTCGGCAGAGAAGAAAAAAGAATGACTGATACGTGGTGTTCGCCTGTTAGTACTAGTTAGCTCAGGTCAAGACTTTAGTTGCAAGGTTTCCATAATACAAGTTGGTGAAGGGGTTAAAGAAACCATTTATTCCATTTTATGTTAGGTGGCCATTATTCCTTCTTGTTAATTTCTCATCCTGCTTCGTCTGCTGTGACTGCTCATCTGCATGCAGATCCATACCTCAACACCGACGCTGGCACAATGTCTCCGATCGAGCACGGCGAGGTCTACGTTTTGGAAGACGGTGGAGAGGTGGACTTGGACCTTGGGAACTATGAACGTTTTCTGGACATCAAATTGACCCGTGACCACAATATAACCACAGGAAAGGTCTATCAGGTAACTTACTAGATTCGTTAGTCCTAATATGCATGTGCAATGAGATTGTGCCATCAAGTCAAAAAATTCGTCTATACGTTCCCTTTTGAACAAAGGGGAAAGGGCTTTCCCGGCAACTTTCAGGATATCTGCAAATTATGTTTGAGCATTTGATTCACCGAATATCATGCATGGAACCCACAAATCCTTATTGATTCGCTTTACGTTTCATCGTAAGATCTACTGCGGTACAATCATATGCATGTGCAGAATCATCCGGTCCTCCACTCTGCCACCCTTGTCGGGGGCTACTGATATAAGATTCAACCTGTCACATGGTGGCTTAATTGTACAGACGATGCTCTGCAGGCTGCTCCTGTCAATTACCACTAGCGAATAAAAGAATCTTTCTACTGTTGACCACCTGAGTTTTCTACGGGTTGCAAAGTAGACCAGGCAACTAGGTTTCACAAATACAGTTGAAACCTACACCAGTATGACAGTTTAAGTTAGCCGGCCGTTTACAGTTGAAACCTACACCAGTATGACAACGTTGTCTTACGGAAAAACAAATCAAGTACGTATCAGTTTTACAGCTTGTCTTAGAAATCTACCTGGTCAACTTGACACCTTTGACAAGGCAACTAGGTTGCCGGTTGATTTTTTGTATTCGAACTTTTTTGGGGTTCTTTTAATTATCAATTGCAGGTGCTGGTTCTATCTTCTGGAAGTTAACAGCATTTTCCCTTGTAAAATCCTCACACCAGGCTGTCATTGACAAAGAAAGGAGAGGTGACTACTTGGGGAAAACCGTCCAGGTTTGTCCTCAGTATATACTGTGTAGCTGGAGCATTCATGCGAAACAGCATATATGACAAGAGATTACTGGCTGTTGATTTATCTTCCTTTTCAGGTTGTGCCACATATCACAGATGAAATTCAGGATTGGATCGAACGCGTGGCGATAAAGCCGGTCGACGGTAAAGAAGGGCCTCCTGATGTTTGTGTAATAGAGCTCGGTGGCACTATAGGTAAACAGAACAATTTCACATGTAGCACAGCTTGCAATGCCACATACTTTTTTTTGACGGTGCAATGCCACATACTTGAAGCATGGATGTGGAAGTAGTTTAGCCTATTTTCCCTCACTTGTTCCTATAGCTGTGCAAGCCTGCCCAGTGCAGGGACAAAATCTTTTCTCGCCGCGCATAATGACAGTTGCACTGTTGATGCAGGGGATATTGAATCAATGCCTTTTATTGAAGCATTAGGTCAATTTTCATACCGTGTCGGTCAGTAAAGATCAGCTCTTCCCTGAATGCCCATATCTGTTTTGGCATTTGTTCGCTTTTACACATTTAGCTTAAGTTGACACATCATTTCCTTATTCTGAGTTGCAGGACCTGGAAACTTCTGCCTGGTCCACGTCAGCCTTGTTCCGGTACTAAATGTAGTTGGTGAACAGGTATGTTTTACTCATTTGAACAAAGAGCCAAGATAATGAGAAGTTGTTGCAATGCACACTTCTGTTGAGGTCCATGTCATGTAGTACTACTATATGCCAAATAGGTACTTTTTGCAAAGAAATATAAGTACTTGAAAAACCATTTTCCTGAATGATATGAACTATGAAACTGTAATTGTACTTGTAGTTTCCGCTGAGATGCAATTTGGCTTAAGCAAAGTGGCACTTTGTTATTATAGTAAAAAGGGAAGGAGGAGACGAACATAAAAAATATATTGAATTATTGATGGATCTCTCAAAACAGACTCAGCTGGTTGTAGGTTTGTTTGGTGAGGTTGGTCGTGTTTTTCTCTCTTTTCTTTTCTGGACTTGTCATTGGCGGGTGAGGTGCTCATTGCAAATCTTTGTAAACCTTGTCCGCTCACGCTTCTTTGGCGCTTTCTTCTCAATGAAAATGACATGTGCCCGAACGTGTTTGCTCTGAGTTTATTGCATTCGACATTTTCTTGCAAATTATGATATATCTTTCATTTATGCAGAAAACTAAGCCTACCCAACATAGTGTTCGTGGCCTAAGGGGACTTGGGTTGGCACCTGACATTTTGGCATGCCGCAGTACCGAGGTACACAATCTAACCTTCATTCTTTCATTCCTTTATAGCAAGCACTCTATGGTCCATTACCCTTTTGTGCTGAAAATTGCTTCACTCAGCCATCTCTGTGATTTTGACAGCCACTGGAGGAACATGTGACAACCAAGCTCTCACAATTCTGCAATGTGCCAGTAATGATGATTAATTTGAAGGCTATTTTAAGTTTTGTCTCTTGCTGGCATAGTGTTGACAATGACCTATTTGTTGCAGATCCCAAATATTGTGAACCTCCATGACGTTACAAACATTTGGCATATCCCCTTGTTGCTAAGGGTATGATGAGTTTCTTTGAAATACATGTGTTCCAAACTTGAATCTTACAAAATTGCAACCGGTGCGACTTGGAACTGCCCCTTTTTAACCAATTTACACTTGATTCTTTCTATAGGACCAGAAGGCACATGAAGCCATTCTGAAAGTTTTAGATCTTCAGCTGTATGTATTTTTTAAGTTTATTCATCACCTGATAGTATGAAGGAACAATGGTGACATTTCAATGTGTTTGTTCCACTCATGTATGCAGTGTTGGCAAAGTACATCGAGAACCTAAGTTGTCTGAATGGACCGAAAGAGCCAGCAAGTTTGACAAACTGAAAACTCCGGTAGGATTACTTATGCTCTTCTTTTTAGCTCACACTTTTCTGTTGTGATGGGTGTCATGTTGCGTTTGTTTTCTATATATATATAGGTTTTTTATAGCTGATAATTATTGCACAATTTGCTTCCAGGTTAAGATCGCCATGGTTGGAAAATATACCGGCCTGTCGGATTCTTATCTATCTGTTTTAAAGGTGAAGTTATTAAATACTACAAACTACTCCCTCCGTTCCGAAATATAAGTCTTTCTAGAGATTCCACCAAGTAACTACATACGGAGTAAAATGAATGAATCTACACTTCAAAATATGTCTACATACATCCGTATGTTGTATTTCATTTGAAATGTTTAAAAGGACTTATATTTAGGAACGGAGGGAGTAGATTACAAAGAGTAACATACTAAGCTACAAATACAAATAGGTCCCTTCAGTCCTGCTGCTACCTTAGAACTGTAGGGTTCACTGATTTATCTTGTTTGACCCTTGTTCCAGGCTCTCTTGCACGCATCAGTTGCTATGGAAAGGAAACTTGTACTGGAGTGGGTTCCTTCCTGTGATCTTGAAGATTCTGCAGCCAAAGAGGTCGGTGTTGTTGAGTATGGGCTCCCCATTAGTTTTGTTTTCCTCCATGAACCTACCGCTGATGCTTTGGAGGTGCTTGCTTTGCGTAGACCCCTGAAGCCCATCAGAAAGCATGGAGACTACTGAAGGTTAGCACATTTAGCATTCTTGACTACTGCCATGATGCAATTCTTGATACTTCTGTTGAGTCATCTGAAGAAAACTCTATCTCAGGGTGCGGACGGTGTGCTTGTTCCTGGAGGCTTCGGAGATAGAGGAGTTGAGGGCAAAATTCTCGCTGCGACATATGCACGGGAGAAGAATGTTCCTTATCTTGGCATTTGCTTGGGTATGCAAGTCGCTGTGATCGAGTTTGCCCGTTCGGTTATGAAACTAGATGGCGCAAATAGCACAGAGTTTGACCCGGCCACAGCATCACCCTGTGTCATCTTCATGCCAGAGGTAGATTGTGCATGCTAACTTCATACTGTTTTGGATGTCCTTCTCTGTTAAGCATCAGATTTTTAATGCATATATTTTGGACAACACCTCATCAGGGCTCCAAAACCCAAATGGGGGCGACGATGCGCCTTGGATCAAGGAGGACGCATTTCCTAGCCAATAACTGCAAATCCGCAAAGCTGTAAGAAAACACTGCCGCTGGTCATCTTCCTTGATCGTATTGCGTTTAACTTTGCATTTTATCGTTTGATATTCACTCCTGTTTATGTGTGAAATATAATTATGATGAATTATCTCAGGTATGGCAATGCTACCTCCATCGATGAAAGACATCGACATAGATATGAGGTGAACACATGAAACTATTTGACGGCACGGATCATTCTATGCTTCCCTTAGTCTTCTGTATAATGGTGGAGATGTAATAATTTTATTGTTTTTTCAGGTGAACCCTGAAATGGTTCCATTGCTTGAGAAGGCGGGTCTTTCATTTGTTGGCAAGGATGAAAGTGGAAGACGCATGGAGGTATATATACTTGTTAAAACAGTTGCTTTGATCTTCAATATGCGCTTAAGAATAAACTTCATCTACTGGATGCAGATCATTGAGCTGCCGAATCATGTGTTCTTCATCGGTGCACAATTCCATCCTGAATTCAAGTCAAGACCAGGAAAGCCATCTCCGCTTTTCTTAGGTATCACACAACTCTAATCTTGATACAGCACGTGTTCATTGAGATTAATCTTGGGTGTCTGCATTTTCTGAATACTAACGCATCTAACGATCACAGGGTTAATAGCGGCAGCATCCGGACAACTAGACCTGCTGCTCAAGCGCAGCTGCGGCGTCATCAGTTCGAAACCGACACCACCCAGATATAGCACCAACGGCACCGGCACTGCGGTCCTGGCCATAAAACCTTACCTCAACGGGCACGCGAAGAAGGCACTCACCAGTTTGGTGAACGGATGCTACGCGAATGGCAACGGCATCCACATCTAACTGAGCAGCCACGGCGTCACACAACATTCGTTTCTGCTGCTTTGCTCGTATCCTCTCGTCTCTTTTTTCCGGGATTTCTTTGGTTTTGGATTTGGAACTGCTCAAATGAGGAGGCGAAGGGGTGTTTTAAGTGTTTTGCATGCCCCCCCTCCACGAAAATCTCCTCTCACTTGGAGCAACTCCATTGAGGATCTGGAGCTGCCAGAGGAAGTGTTTGGCTAGCCTAAAAGGTTAGCAAAAAAAAAAAAAGCTCCGGCCGTCAACACGCGTTTCTGATATTTTTACGAGGAACGTCCTCCAGTCATGTTGAAGCAAAGGCTGTTTCCCCTAGGGTCTAGTGTGGTGTATTCCTTTTGTTTTCCCAAAACTGTTTTGTATCTTCAGTGGACCGAATGAATGGAAACCAGATTTACTTGGTCTAATAGTTATCTTTCTGAATCAACAATATGTATCACTTTAATGTTGAGTGCTAGTAATAGTCTCACTTTATTTATTTCCAATAAATTGCACTAAATCCTATACTCTACTAAAGATTGACAGTTATGGGTATTGAACTGAGCTCCTAATATACCCACTCTATTCCTTGTCTCCAAAATTCCTACAAGCCGTGGAATTATCCAAAATTTTGCACATGGAATGTAGTGAAGTACTTGTACTATTTCTAAGGGGCCATATTGAATCAACTTTTATCAATGTCAGAGTGCCATTGTTTCATAACGAGGCATCTTGCAGGCCAGTTTTGTGATATCTCTCATACAGCTGACTGCTACTATGTTAATGAATTCTTGCAAGGATAATTTAGAGAGAACCCCATGATACGGAGTTGTACATTAGCCATAATATACTGTCATGGAATATAAGAACCTTGAGAACATGATGATGGATAGGACGGTCCACAGAAAGCGGCAGACCTTAATAATCACCCGCTGCTGTCTCCGGTTAAACCAAGCAACGTAGCGTAAGGCAGTCTCCAAAATCGCATCCCCATCTAGAAAGTATACCTGTTCATCCTTTACATGGTTAGGTACCAGAAGAGTACTCCTGTCTCTTGAGACGCAGTAGGCAAACATGTTTAAGTTCAAACTGAAGACATGCAACTATAAAACCGGACGACCAAAGTACTTCCTCTGTTTTGTTATAGTATCTCTCTTTGCCCTTGTGGGTCTTTGTTTCAAAATAGTTGTCCATTTAGGGAATCAAGGGTGTAGTTATTGAAATGTTTTCACTCCCTACCCCTACTTTATGCGTTGAAAAGGATTACATAGTTGCTGTAACTTATAGGTCCTGAATTCCTTAGATTTCTTAATACCCTCGGTGAGTATGCATGTGGAGTTCTGGAGAGAGATATAGAAACAGAGGGAGTATACGAGAAGAGTAGTGTCCAAAAACCAACTTGTTTCGTATGCACAAAAAAGAAATATATACGGTAATCCCAATATCAAAGAAAAGTTCAGTAAATGAAGGACTTACCGGTAGGCAGTTAACGGCAGCCAATGCCGCAGACACATGAAGCAAACAACTTAAACAATTTTCCAAGATATAGGGAACATCTGCAATAAGAAGGAAGAATGCCCATCGGGGCCTGTAGGGGGATAACTTAACAGAACTTGCTGTCGATGACAGATCACCAACATAAACAAAGGTTCCCCCACAAGGACTCGGACCGAAGTTATCATTTGTAGCATGTGATGACGAAAAATTTCCTTCTTTCTGTAAACACTCCAAAGAATATGGCCTGGCGTAGGAGATCTCTATCCATGAAAACCCAGGGGTAAGAACAGGTACCAAGCAGTACTCCTCCTGCCAGCATTAATAAAAAACACAGTTGGTAAATCATACAAAAAGGATTACTGTTACTACAAGGGAAAAATTCCTCAAGATTATGCATGAAGACTCCAAATTCATTATGACATTGTAGTAATACTCGCAACAAAAATCTTACCTCCAAACAGGTACAGTTACTGTCATCATCTTCTGTACCACGCCATCCATTTCCACATTTTTTAAGTTTAACTACGTCTTTTGCAATCAAACAATACAAGTCCTCAGTTTGTTTCTTGTCACTTACTTTGTCAGTCCCAGGAAAATACGCGGAGCCATTACAGGAAAATTTCCCAAACACTACCAGTTCATCTGGGCAAGATAGCTTGTCATTTATCTGCCAGAGATTCTTGCTTGCATCCATCCATGAGTTGGGGACACAATAACCTTTGCCAGAATTAGTAGCACCATAGCTCTGAGAACCACCAAGAAACTCATGACTACTGGTTTTCTCTACAGTGCCTTGAGCCAGCATTTTCATCCAATCGTCAGTTCTTCTTATGTTCAGACCATCCACAGACAAGATAACATCATGAACAGACAATGACCTTGACAGAGAAGATGATTGTGGGACTCCCATGACCTGTTATGCAGCCATTTAGAATCGCAAGATTGTGGAGATAAAAAATGATGAGAAGTGAAAGGAAACAGACTTACAATAAGTCCATCACCACTCACGTAGAGAGGACAGAGGACCAAAGGAAGTAATAATGCCATCAGCACACATGCTGCACAAAACTATTTAACATGAAATCATAACAGCTACATCATTACGAGGCTTATGAGAATATTGCAGAAATGGTACTTCTAAAATATGGTAAGGTATACAAGTATACAATTAAAAACCTCCATGGTGCCACATCTAAGATTGGAAGTGTGTGCAGATGGTAAGGTATACAAAGCTTATAATCCAGTACACCTTGATCTGTATCATCATGTACTTAAATGCTCATGCAGAAGTTTCTAGCTAGTGTCACACTTCTCTGACCTGATGTCAACTATCATTATTATACAAGCAATTATTGTTATCCGGTTCATACTTCATACCTCTCAGGCCCTGGTTAATCATAAAGTATACCAAGAAATGTATGGTAAAACAACCTACTAGTAAAGACCAAAATCAGCTATCAGATGTCTCGGTCAAGGAAATTTTTCCCAATGGTTTACTATAGACATATACATGCTAATATATTCCACAACAAATTTGTAGGGATAAATCTATTTATTACCAGTATGAGGATATTAGTGCATGATTACCCACTGTAGGATACTAAATTTCCAATATCTGTTGGGCAATCGTCTAACTGAGGCATCCAATTGTATCTTATGCCAATCAACATAAAGCTAATTGTTCTTAGTTCTTGTTTGATGTCCTCGTTACTGCAAGAATACTAGATATATGTGCTTCTCTTTATCTGAGCACCAAGGGTCACTACAACTTAATATGGCATACCACAGATATTGAAAATAGATGTTTGCAGCAAGAATACAAGTTACATGTGATTCTTTTTATCTGAGCACTAAGGGTCTCTATAATTTAGCATGGCATACCACACATATTGAAAATAGATGTTTGCGGGAAGACTTTGAAATTAATTCATGCAAATCAGGATAACTTACTATAACATTATGCCAAATTCCCGCGCAATATATCCGAAGCATTGAAAAGAGGGGTAGATTCTCAAGCAGGTCATAGTTCAGAGCAACTAATGCCCCAGGAAAAAGTACAGCCATGAATATTGCAACATATTCCATCTGTACACCCTCGCTGTAGCATATTGAGCAATGAACATACCAGCAATTCAATAGTGTGCCAAAAAAAACATCAGTAGGTGGAAGTAATATTATGAAACAACACTCAGAGTTTTAGAGTATCAAAGAACGGAAGATACATTTAAGCACAGGCAACACATCTCACAAAAAAGGTGCACGAGCAGATGAGGGATAGACCTTGCAGCTGCAATAGCATGTCCGAATTCATGAAAAGCAATAGATAAGATTGTTGATGCTATGATGATTGAGGTGTCCATTATTGATCCGCTGAAGCTGGGAGCCTACAATGAGTGAAACGCGTGCTGAGTGGTTGATTTGGAAAATTGAAAGAACGAAGCATGTCTCCTCACCAGTATATTTGGTAACCAGGCGCTAATGGATCCGCGTCTAAAATATAATGCACCAATTGGATCCCACAATAGCAACTGAAAATTGCAACAGAACAATATAACAATCCAAAATTGAATAGAAATGGTATGTTAACTACCTACTGTAGCCATCTCAGGAACCAATGAACTAGGAAGATACAGATTGACAGCATTAATGGATTTATTAATATAGGCAACAATTTCAATATTTTTGTGATGGCTACTAGAGCTGCAATGAAATCTTTGTGTGGAAAAGGCAGGCCATGAAGGTGGAAAACCAGAAACAAACTCCCTTTTGGCGGATGAAGAAAACAAAGCATTTTTATATGATTTTCTGAATAGGATCAGGATTATCGGAGGCGCCAATTTCAGCTCTATTCACACACTTATGTGAATGTTAGTTACCATAAAAATAGCCGTTAAATATTCAGGGAACTGAGTGAAAAATCTCAGTGCCCTATCTGCTCTCTGAAGTAGGTATCAAGATACCAAGGTCACATACAGATGAATATATCACATAATCAGCAAGTATCATAAATTTTTCAAGTCAAAAATAAAATTATTTAAGCAGCAACATGGCATAATATTGTGAGATTCATGACACAGAGGTATACTATCGAACTTTGGAACAAACATAATAATCGGAACAACTACATTTCATTATTTGCCATAATAATGAGAGTTAACTTACCAAAGATATACCAACTAAAGCAACGAGAGAGAAATAAACTCCTAAGGAAAACCATGCTCTGGTGTATCTGCAAAAAAATAATTAACTCGGTATAAATTTAAGTACAATCAATGACTAAGCTCTAAATTGTGAGTAACAAGGGAAATTATGTGATCTTCATAGTAAGATGGCTCTTATCAGAATATTCTTCTCAGCCAACAAAATAAGTACATCGTATATGCTTAAGTTTTCCAGAGAAAAATAGGAATTAAACATTGCTATCAGGTGCTAAATTTGTCATCGACCTTTAGCATGCCAGATCTGCCAGAACATATTTTAACTTTTGGTGTGGTGTGTGGACAAAATTCTTCCAAAATGACTTGATGTGTCGAACTAACTGTTTATCTACACATGTGGATAGCATGGGTGTGTCGTAAGATAGATATATGATTCAAGCCATGCAAAAGAAATGTCGCAAACAGATGCAATGACTTGACTTGGTTAATGTAAATGGTACTTATCTTTGTACAGATGCCAAGGAAAATCGGAGCTATGTGGAATTTGCACAAATGAGAAAAAATGCAGAGTTATAAAAACTTCAAGGGCTAAGATAAAGCATACCTAGCATGTTTCCACCCCAAATTGAATATCATGTCGTTGAAGACATAAATTTTGTACTCACAATACCTGAAGTTCGCATGGGCACAATAAGTGAGCATAACAGCCACTTTCTGTACTAATACTAACATAAAATGACGACAACGAAACAGAAAGCTAAATCAAAGCTGATTTAGATCGAGTGAATTGGGTAAGTTTAGCTGGGGAGAAATCGGGACAGAAGAGAGAGAGGCCGTGTGGATTGCCTTACCAGCAGGAGACGGAGCTCTCAGTGCGGCTCGCGGCGGGGCCCGAGGGCAGGGTCACCGACGCGCGCCCGCGCCGCCGGCTGCGTCCGCCGCCGCCGCCGATCATTTGAGAGCGGAGAAGCACCGAGTCGTCGGCTTGGCCACCGCAGGTATTATTCCGGAAAAATAGTTGGGTACTTAGCACGCCGTCGGATCTACATCGGAGGGCAGATCTTGGCGGAACTCTCAGTCTGAGGCTGAAGGCACAGACAGTTTTTGCAAAGAAGCCCCTTCGGTTTCCCACATTTGCACCTCCGCTCCTTGTCCACTTTTCTTCTTTCCCTTCTGCCCGTTTGTCTCCCCATTCCGAATCGCATCTCGCGGCGGCCGGCGATCCCCCAGAAGCGAAGATCTATCGGGGTTGCGCAGCACCACCGCCGACGGAAGCTCCGGCGCGCGCGGCCGCACCACCGTGACGCGCCTCTTTCGCCGCGCCTCCGGTCATATTTCGGTAGGGGCGATCGAGCGGGGCTGGTTCCCAGGAGAAGGGATAGGAGAGGATGATACTGCTCCAGTCCCCATCCAGGTTCCTACTCCAGATCCTCAAGGATCGCATCGTCAGGTATGTCGCTGCTCAGCCGATCTTTCTTCGTGGACCCAGAAGGTATATCGCATGTGGCTCATGCGAGTATTCGCGCTGCAGCGGCGACAAGGGCGTGGACATCGATTGCCACACGGTGGAGTTCGACGATGTGCGGTATCATGTCCAGGTTAGTGCATAGCATCCTCCTGTCGAATCTGAATGCCCATTTCGTTTTGCTGTCTTAAGGTCATTTATTTTGTGTGTAGGGGGGTAATAGTAGGAACAAATCTGAGCTAAAGAAGCCGCATTCCGGCTTTATTTAAATTACCTGGCGCTGATGTTTGTGTCTTTAGTACTGAAGTTTTGGTGTGCTAGTGTGGGTTTCTTTGCTGTCTAACTTCCTATTATGTAAATCCTGACAATGCTGTTCTTCAAGCACTGCAATTGCAAGCTGAAAGTAAAGTTATATTTGCTAAACAGTGGAGTGCTTCCATTGCTATTGTTTGCAACCAGTGGTCAGCTTATGCTCTGTATACTGATGGACATTAGACTTCTGTTGCAGTTTTCAATGAGGAATCCGAAGGTAATGGTGCTATCAGTGGCATTGCCCCTTGCACCTCCTGAGGCTATTCTGTATGACGGGCTTCCTCTTGGTGCTATTGATGCTATAAAGGCGGCTTATGGGGCAGTGGTTCAAATTCTTGATCCTCCAAAGGACTGCTTTGATCTCACAATGAAGATAAACTTAACAAAGCTTCCGACAGATGAAGGTTCTAGAGTTCCCTTTCCAAGGTTATCATTGTCTTGTTGTGCTACATGATCATTAGCTGGTGGTGTCTATCTTAGATGTTCTCCATGGGCAAAATAATACTTTTAGTGCAAGTGATGGTTGGAAACAAGTTCATCTTTTCACATGTAGATGTAGATATCTCCTCCTGTTATCTTGAACTGGTTTGTATTTCCGTTCTTAGTAATGGAAAGGGGTAAATGCCCGGTTCGAAAAAAAAATGTAGATGTAGATACCCTGGAGTTTATAATCTTCAGAAATACGTCAGATATGTACTGTATTACACACTTGTTTGCCCAGGACTCGGACACAGATGTTGTTTGCCTAGATCATGGAAGCAGTTTTATTTTTGTGTGTGAAAATGCCTAAATGGAAGGGATGTGGAACTCGCCTTAGTTAATATGAAACCTTAACTTTCCTATAGTCTTGTTTGCAGGAGCTCAGTAATGGGTTCTGGATATCAATTCTATCTTTCCACTGAAGTCAACTCATTTGCATATTTAAGTTTGTGGTGTCATAATGATGCCGAGCCTCTTTACTAGTTTTTCATTGTTGGTGATTTTCCCGTACTTGGGCCAATCACACTGTTGGTTGCATGATTAATTGCTTATTTTTCGGAACAAGGGAGTTGGTTGAAGTACAATCTGCAATTTTTTGGTTTTGGTCAAGCCTGCCCGAATCATAACATTCTATTTTGTCTAGTTCATGCTCTCAGTTGAAATTGCCATCTAACTACCTATTGCATTTCTTATGTTCCAGAGCAGCGGAATGTTGTCTTGACACAAATTGCATCTGTGAGAGAGGTTGTGCTGGGTGCACCGCTGAAGCTTCTGCTCAGGCATCTAGCTTCAAAGACAGTGGCTCCTAACGTGGATAAGCTGGTTGCCCTTGTTCACCGTCCTAATGAATCATTCTTCCTTGCTCCCCAGGTATGACTTTCAGATTAGACATCTCAAATCTGGGTATATTACACTGAAACATCACCGTTTTGTGGCTACTAACTCCTGGCTGCTTTGTGAATCTGTTGGTAGACATATTTTATTATTTCAAATTATTTGTGTATTTGATTTTTAGTGTCGGTTCGTAATTGTATCTTCTGCATATTCACTCGATGAAATTATTTTTTCCCAGGCAGACAAAGTTACGGTTGTATACCCAATGAGGTTCCAGGATTCGATTGATATTGTCTTAGCAACTTCGTTTTTGCAGGTATTATGGACACTTATAGCTTTTGTGGCTTCAGTTTCTTCTTTTGACCTTTTATGTTCATCTATGTTAGACTGATATTTAGTCTTTCAGCACTGCTGTCATTTTATGATTAATGAATATATTTGCCGTACCAGATTCATGAGTTTGAAGATTTGGTGAATTTCAATGTTTACATAACTATCTTATGCAAAGCCGTTTGGTAAGCCACAATTTCCTGGGAGCACTCTGCTGAATGTACTTAAAATTTGGGATGGTTATGTGTAGGAATTTGTAGAAGCAAGGCGGACTGCTGCACTTAACAATGCCCCTTCCTGTATGTGGTCTCCAGTACCACCTCTTGAGTTAAAAGGCGTGAATGCTGATGCACTTGATGCAAATGCTGGTTTTGTTACTTTTGGTAATGTGTATTTCTGGCAATAGTTTTTCATATTCTTCCAAGATATCAGTTTTCTACCCTCAAAAATAAAAATATATAAATTTGTCTCACAGCCTTTCTTTATGGCAGTTGTTTTCCCTCGGCATGTTGAGGGTAGAAAGCTAGACAAAACAGTTTGGAGTTTGTTAACCTTCCATGCTTATGTAAGCTACCATGTAAAGGTAACGCCCTTGTTTTCATGGCCTGGTTTCATATTTATCAAGTTCGTGGATCCCTGAAATAGCTGTGAACCAGTCAGCAGTAGCCACTTTGCAGATTTCCCATCAATCTTACCTTTACATTTTACAAGTAGGAAAATACAAGCTGGTTTTCTGATTTAAGCTAGTTTGGGTTAGCCAGCCTTGGAACCAACTGGGAACAGTTTTATTAAGCCTGCTCCAGCATGATGTCAATTTTGTGAAACACTTTTCTTCTGCTTTACATATACATAGCTACCACCATAAGTGGTATCTTATCATAACATTGCAAGCACTCAACTGCTGCTATTTGGTGTATCGCAGTGTTCTGAAGGATTCATGCACACCAGGATGAGGCGTAGAGTTGAGTCTCTGATCCAGGTAAATATAAACACTGTTTCACTGAATCAAAGCATTTTATACACCTTGTAAAATCTTTACTTCAGTTATCCAATAAGTTTGCTAGGTTTAGTCAAAACTTCAATTATTCAGTACCTTTTCGGCCTGTATAGTTATAGTAGCAAATGTGGGTTTAGTATAATAGAACAGAGGAGACTATGATCATGATGTTAACCTGCTGTTAATTATGTTTTTAAGGCAGGTAAAAAATTGGATATCTAGTAGTTCACCTGAGTTTGCAAGAAGGAAGAAGCTAACAAAAATAATAACGAACTGAAATGTTGAAAATCATGAGATTAAATAGGTGTGATCTAAGCCTTTATAGTAAGTCAAATTGCTAGTCATGGGAAGTCTCGAGTCAAAGGATGATGATCTTCCAATTGTTATCGACTTAAGCTTTAAAAGGCGAGAATGGAACTGAATTTGAATTGTCCCCATCTAGCAGACGCCAATTTCGAAAAGCACATTGAGAGTTAGATTACGTGGTATGAAGGGATCATGTTAATGAAACAAGATAATGGTTGAACATGGAATATCCCGTAAATGAAAGCGCTATGGAATTATGTCTTGATGGTTTGCTTATGGCTGCAGGCTTTGGACCGTGCTAAATCCGATGCAGAGAAGCTGAAGAAGTTGGTACATGGCGGGTCTTTTAGGAGACTGGTTTGTGCAAATATCAACCAAACTTGTATTTGAAAAGAAGGCACGTATCGTATTTGCATGTGTGCATATTTCACTGATTCAAACTCTCTCCCCGCAGAGCATGAAGCACGAAGGCAACTCTAATCACTGAAGGAAGACTCAGGCAAATATATGAAGGTTTTGCTCAACTTTCCATCATGGGTGCTACTGGTAGAACACTTTGTTTCAACTTCCGGTAAGATTCGGGTGGCAGCCGTTGAGACAACATGAGCACCCTACTGTGGCCCATCGCTTGTTTGTTTGTTTGTTCCGGGAGGATACTGTATTTATGGTTGAAATTCGACTTGAGGAATAGGTGAGATTTAATTGGTCTTTGTAAATCTCGGTGCATACGTCCTGACGCTATTTTGCACATGGTTTTCCACAAGAAAATAAAATTAGAGTACGCAGCAGGTTGTGTACCATAGTTTTGTAGAAGAAAACGAGTCCATTTACACAAGGAAGAGCACTAAATTAAACAAGAAACAGCACTAACTACTCGCTACACAATGCAACCCCTACCACTCTGCCAATGTCCGTAGCTTTATTTCATCAACTTTTATTTTAACTAGCAAAAGAGCCCGTGCGTTGCAACGGGAGATTTTTTTTTTCATAATCTTCAATGGCCATGGTTACATTTTGTTGCATCATCGAAATACACTATCACTCTCAATTTTGTGAAATCATGATCATTTTTTAAAACTCGTGCACATATTTGAAATCATGAACATTTTTAAAATTTGTGAACACTTTTTCAAATTTTTGAACATTTTCTAAAATTAAAAATATTTTTTGAATTCATGAACATTTTGTACTATTTGCAAACAGTTTTAAAAATTGTGAACATATTTTATTTTATTTTTTATTTTATGTGCAAATGGACGAACAAATGATGGATGAAAATCTGGTAATAAGGGACGTATAAAAAAAGGGAGTAAGAAACATTCGTGTCTTTAATAAAAAAGGAAAGTACTAATTAAGGGTGCAACATAAAAATAATTTTAAAAATAATTAACATGGAAGATAACATTATATTTAGAATCTACAAAATTTTCTGGGCGATTTTCATATCTAGCATGCTAAATTTGGAGTTGGGGTTTGAAAGATATAAATATTTAAAAAATACTTGAATCTGCAAAAAAAGAATTAAAAGAGAATATTTTGACCGTATTATACCTTGTAGACCATCTGTTAAGCGACACTTGGCGAAATAGCTCTATACTACGCCAACTGAAATTCGCGAAAAAAAGCTACAAAAATGAGGATAACCGAGTTTCGAACCCAGGTCTCCTGGATGGTGTAGAAACACCCAGACCAGTAGGCTGCTTTGTTGCCTTGTGTTGTGTAAGGGTGTTTCGTTAGATGAATGAAGAACTATCGGTGGCGAGTTAAGAAATAAAAAACGAATCGTTTTCCTACTTATGGATGGCATTGATGGATAATTTTAATAACTTGAAGGATAATTTTAATGACGGATGACCAGAAGCGATAGTCGCTTTATTAATAGGTAAAGGTAAAGATGGATTGATCCCAGTTGCGATGTGTTACCAAAAAGACTAAGTAAGGTTATCTGTAACGCCGTGCCACAAATGTCTGAACGGGCGTATCCGAATCAATTTTGTCGGTTAACGCGGTGTTGGATATGTCCGTGGACGCGCGTGTCCAAATTCTCATAAATTGGTACCAAATCTGGGAACATATGCAAATTTACATCACGACATACATCTGGTATAAAACCGTGGCCGCCTGCGAAACGACCAACCGCCAATTCTTTATTTGCCTTTGCGCTCGCGACCGCCCGCTCGCACCGCCGGAAATCGCCGCTGCCACTGCCCCAAATCACCGCTGTCGCCCTAGCCCGCATCGCCTCCCCTGCCGGAGGGCGTCTCGCAGCCGCCCCGGCGCTGTCGTTTCGGGAAGCAGCCGCGGCTGGATTCGTCGACTCCGGCGGTCCGGCAGCCCGTATAGCTCCTCTCCACCAGCCGCCGAGCTCCCTTCTCCTTTGCGCAGCCATCCGCAGCAGCGACCAATCCAACCGTCGGCCATCTTCTTCCACCCCACGCACAAGGTGGTGTTCGACGGAATTCCCCAAGGTAAGAAAACGACGAAAGTTCATGATTTAAATTGTGAGTGGATAATATGTTTGACGGTGGTTACTCCTCATCAGTGGACGATTCATCGTCGAACGAGGAATTTGATTTGCATGGAGAAGAGGACATTGCTATGCTAGTGGCCATGCACAAGCGGTAGAAGCCAAAGCACGGTGGTTCCGTCTATGGTCGTGCGTTCATTCGGAGAGAACGGATTGATGCACACAAACGGTTGATGCGCAACTACTTTGGATCACCACATGTTTTCCCGGAGAAATACTTTCGACGCCATTTCAGAATGTCGAAAGACTTGTTCATCCATATTTGCAATTCTGTGAAGCAGCATAATCCAGCCTTCGAGCAGAGAAGGAACCGTGCCAGGTTGCTTGGCCATAGCACTGAACAGAAGGTCACTGCCGCTTTACGCATGATAGCATATGGTGTTCCTACAGATTACATTGATGACAACTTGGCGATGGCAGAGAGCACTTCTATTTTCTATGTCAAGCAATTTGCAATGACTATGGTAGAAGTGTTTGATCCACAGTACTTGAGAGCACCCAATGCTCAGGACACTCAGAGGCTTTTGGAGATGAATAAAGCTCGAGGGTTTCCAGGTATGCTCGGGTATGTGGATTGCATGCATTGGAAATGGAAGAACTGCCCAAAAGCATGGCATGGACAATTCAAGGGTCGTGGGAAGTATGCCACTATCATTCTTGAGGCAATTGCCGATCATGAAACATGGATTTGCCATGCATATTTTGGGATGCCTGGATCTTGCAACGACATCAACGTGCTTGACCAGTCACCTCTGTTTGCCAAGTTAGCCAATGGAGAAGCACCACCAATGACCTCCGAAGCAAATGGCCGCACATACAACTATGGGTACTATCTTGCATATGGTATTTACTCAAGGTGGAGTACATTTGTCAAGCCGGTTGCAAAATCCGAAGGTAAGAAAGAACTCGTCTTTCACAATGCACAAGCGGCCACTAGAAAAGATGTTGAGAGGGCTTTCGGGATTTTGCAATCTCAATTTGCTATTGTGCGAGGACCATCTGTTGGGAACGCAGTATTTCAAAAAATTTCCTACGATCACGTAAGATCTATCTAGGAGATGCATAGCAACAAGAGAGGAGAGTGTGTCTACGTACCCTCGTAGACCGAAAGCGGAAGCGTTTATCAACACGGTTGATATAGTCGTACACCTTTATGATCTTTCCCGATCAAGTACCGAACGTATTTGATAGATGGTGTCCTTAAGATTCTTGTTGTACACTTCGCCTATGCGTCCAATGCTGATGTGGGAGGCCATGCTCTTTCCTAAGCTCCAGGTTGGTGCGTCAAAAGAAAACTTGATGGGCTCGGTAATTGGTGCAAAAGTCCTCCCAGGGACTCGAACTTGAATCGTCCAGCGCTCCTCTTCTGGTAAAGTTGCATTGAATGTTCCGGTGAAGCTTGGTATGCCGATGTTCAGATACTTGGTGACTTCCTTCAAGTGTCGTCTGAAAGGGGTGTCGTCATCCGGCCGAGTGAACTTGTTCTTGGGGTCCGACATCTATAGAGTAGAAATATAGAAGAATTAGAAATGAGTAGAGAAGAGTATCATGTGGCTTTTCCTAGTGGTCACGTCCTACAGTCAGCGTGTGCTCTGATACCATCTTGTAGCGACCCGATCCCAGTGGACCATAGTCTCTGTGCTTAAGTGCCATCCCTGGATCGGTATGCTGACACACACGGTACCCGAGGAATTATAACAGAGTTCAATCACATACTTATTACATCGAGGTCCTCATAAAGAGTGATAATTACAATAATATGGCCGAAGGCCATCTAATAAAATAACTGCGGAAGCTTCGAAGGTAAATGAGTCCATCCAACTCCACGTCAAAACTGAGTGCAAGACAACGACCTATCGCACCTTAATCATCATCAGTGAATTCTGCAACATGAGACTTTGCAACCGTGTAGGTCAGCACATGGAATATGCTGGCAAGATCACACTATAGAGCAATGATGAACAATAGCTATCACTACATGCATATTTGGTTGGTGGAGGCTCTAAGTTTAACATTTGCATAAAGCTAATTTTTCCATACAACAAAGAAATAGATTTTATTTTACTACCAAGTTTATGCCATCATTGAGAAGGTAACCCCAACTCAATCCCAAAATTAATCAAGTATCATTAGTAATATTAGCAACCCAACAAATTTATTAAGTAAAGTGATGAGATCAACCAATAACTCAAATACCACATACTCAAAATTGTCCATAACCGGGGACATGGCAAATCATGATTTGTTTGTACACTTTGCATGTCAGGACCCCGATTCCAAGTCACATTGATCTAGCCGGTAACACCTCATATCACTTTGCGGCCTCACGCACGGTATTCCCACGGGTGTCGCCTTACCATGGCCCGGGACCGTTTGCGCCTTTTGGCTCACGTATATGATAGTGTCGCTAGCATCCATATGACAGAGAACCCGGGCCGACATGACTAGTCGTGAACCCAAAGCGGCACTAACCTATGGGGACAGGCATACATGAATCACATCGAGCATATCGGTCAGCAGCGTGTGAATCCGGGCTGTAGCACTGGGCTAACAGGACTCCGGGAACCCGGGCTGTAGCAGGCTAGGCAGGACTCCGGATGTCACCGCGTGACATTTTCCCGAAGGGACAGACACAGGAACGAAGTGAAACACATGCCGACCAGTCAAGTGTCCTGAGTAGTAGTGCTGGGCTAGCAGGACTCCGGTGGACCGGGCTGTAGCAGACTACTATGGCTCATGGAAGCACAAGACTACATTTCCCCATAAGAGAGGCTGCCAAGGATAAACAACTAGATTGTCGGATCCCACACATACCAAGCATTTCAATCATACACACAATATGCTCGATATGTGTAAATACAACATGGCATCACAACATAACTCTACGACTCAAGTATTTATTCACTAGGCTCCGAGGAGCGAGATATTACAAACATGGGTCTCATGACCCAACATCCAGA